ACCTCAGGTCCTGCGTAATTGAACCGGAACCCGCGCCCAAGGCGGAGCCGGCTCCTAAGGTGAAGCCACCTCCTCCATCTCTGTCGGTCAGTAAGGGCCTTCCTAGGCGATCGGCTCCTGCTGTACATACTGGGTCGGCTCACACCGCCAAGCGTCCAAGAGAGACTGGCGGTGGCTCCACTGGGAGCGTGCAGATCCCAGGGCATTATTTCGGCAAAGCCCGCACAAAGGAATCCCCTGTCCAACCCTCTGAACCGCCAATGGGCGGGGCAGGGGGGAGCACACAGCCGTCCGCAATGGATGTGGATAAAGAGGGGAGTAAGGGCGATGAGAAGAAGAACGAAGCGGCCAATGAGGCTGCTGTAGCGTCAAAGAGCGCAAAGCCGCATCCGGCGAAAGCATCGCGCCCTGAGGCCCTAGGCGGCTTATTGGATGTGACACTGATCAGCGATGTACGGGGGCGTGATCGGGATATTTCCGATGACGAGTATTCCCCTACAAATGTGTGCATGTTTCCAGAATCATGGGAGGGCGTAATGCCGACCTCCGTAACCGAAAAGGCCGGAGGCTTTGAGCAGTTCAGAAACGAGCTCATGAGGATCCAGAGAATCCTGGATTCTCCGGCGTTGGTTGACCTTGGTAAGGTCGATCTGGACGCTCTGGGCGAGCCGCCCAGGGAGTACGTCTCGGATGAGGATCACGAGAGTCACGTAGACGATGATGGGATGGGCCCATATGTGGACAAGTTCTCATCAATGGGCGACCGCGACCTAGTGCCCTCAAAGCAGGAGCCACCCTACTATGAGGCAAAGGCGTGGCGCACCACTGAAGAGGAAATTGAGAGGATGAAGAATCTTTTTCCATACTTTCGTGCCGAAAATTATCGGCTTATGTCAGCGAGTACTGGTCCCATAGGTACCAAGGCGCACGTACAGGGCGTCCTCCCTGCTGGTGCGTCGCTAGAGGAGGCACTGATGGCAAAGCCCGATGTGTGCCCGATTGCGAGCACCTACAACCTCACATACGAGGGTGAAGAGGTTGTATTTGATGCACAGAGCGGGACAGCAGGCAGAATCGCCTGTCCTGCCGGTAACGACATATTCCATTTCTTCCCCGAAATTAGGGATGCATCGGCGATGATTGGGCGAAGCTCCAGGGAGTCGCAAATGCTGCTAGAAATTTTGTCGGGCAACACTGACCCAACGCGGTTGAACGTGAAGCCCGGTGAGCCGGCCCCCTTCTTGTGTGGGACGGTTCCAGACGTTCTGGGAGGTTGGATGTCAATGACTCTAATCTCAACGCTCTTTGAGGCCCTATACGGGATCCATAAGTGCACGAGTGTCGAGGTGGCGACCTGGGCGGGTTCACTTGCGAAGGAGAACCCAGCGTACCCTCCAGTCGAGCTCCTAATACGGACAGTCTGGAGGGGAGATGGCACGCCTGTGCGCCCGAATGAGGTGCTGTTTGCGCGTTCCACCCTAATCGGGAGGGACGTGCCGTTCAAAGTTTTCAAGCGTTGGGCACTGCGTGACCGAACGCCTATGGGGCCTTTGCTTAGGCCGATGGGAGCAGCGGAAGTCCCTTATACGGGATACGTGCTGCTGACGATGGCCGAGTATCGGTCCGCCCTCAAAACGAGGTGCATCCGGAGGCCCGGCAAATTCGCCATCACGGTTTTTCCCATGCGACCTGAGCAGGTCTGCAGGGGGGAGATCATGATTGGGATGGAGGGCGCAAAGGTGCCTCTTCTCAAGTTGCCAAGCCCCAATAGTGAGGGCGAATTTTATGTTGACGATCGCGTCAAATACATGGACAAGCGCCATGTCGTTGTGGCCGTTGACCTAAAGTGGATGGCCATCGAGGAAGCCGCCGGCATCTACAAAACCCGACGCGGTTTGATCGCTGTGCGAGAGGAGATACATGCGCCCTTCTGGCGCGCATGCTATCTGAACCAGGAAGGGGATGTAATATACATCCGTCCCTGGGCGATCCGTGAGTTGAATGTTCAGGGACCGCGGAGAGGGGTGTCATTTTCATGGGACAAAGCTCCCATGCATGACTACTGGTGCCCTCGGTGCGCGCATCTGAATATGTACGGTACCATTCTATGCAATGGTTGTCATTTGCCGATTTTCTATCGTGAGTGGGTGCCAGGCACCGTCCGCTCCCTAGTTAGGAGTGGGCAGCCAGTCTGGTTAGACGGACTCAAGGCAGTCCGTGCCAGCAGCTGGTATGAAGGGGAGACCGACGTGTGGGCTCCTCTCATGGCATCGGTAAACCCGATCCGCGAGGTGGTCAGCTGTATGATCTCCGGTTTGCGCTGTGCGCCGCACCTTGTGCACAATCCCAATGCGGATATTGTGCAAGTTGCGTTTCAGGAGGTTGCAAAGGTCACCTCAAAGGACACTCACGCTTGTGTGCGTGCGAGTGATGAGGCTCTCGAGCGGTGGGTAGCGAAACAGCTGCTCATCGAGGAGAGCAATACTGGCGTCCCAATTCCCGACAATATGTCTGTCATGACATATTTGATCGAGCACCCGCAACAGGCGGCGCAATGGGGTCGTCATATGACGAGAAAGGGCAGTCTAAATTCAGCATTTGCCCTTTACCTCTCTGTGCATATTTATGATGCCTACCGCATCGGAATTGAGGACGGATATTTGGTTCCGCTGTATGGCCTAGGCGCCTCACGCGCGGACATCATAATGTCATTGGTGCAGGCTGAGCGACGCCTCGCGGACTTCAATAGTGAGGACCCAAGTTTTGATGCCTCCACTGTTCTTGATTGGAGTATCGACTCTCTGCGGGCCAGTGGTGGATCCATCACGGCCCCGATTGAGTATGCTGAGGCATACATTTATGTCGAAGACAACAAGGTTGACATGGTCCCCGCTGCACAGCGGGACGGCCAATGCGCCATTGTTTTTGCTGACCCACCGACCGGGAAGCACCATAGGCGGGCAGCCACTCCTAGGGGAGATCAACGGTCTGCTACCCCGCGACCTGAATCCAGGTCAAAGGGGGATCAGCAAAAGGGCAAAGCCCCTGCGCAATCCTGGCCCAAGGGTGGAGGTCACAAGGGTGACCAGTTTCAAGGAAAGGGTCACAAGGGTGATCAGTGCAAAGGCAAGGGTGGCCAATACGGCTACCAACAAGGACAGTTCGGTCGTGGCGGATCCGCCAGATCGAGAACTCCCACTGGCGGGTATCAGCCTGATGCTCGCGGGTCGGGGTACAAGGGTGCTCAGGCAGCTCCTTTCCCGTTCCCAAGCCCGATGTATCCCGCTTTCCCAATGGGAGGATACATGCAACAGCCCATGGCTGGCATGATGCCACAAATGTGGCCTGGCGCAATGCCGCAGGGTTGGCAGCCGCATATGCAGGGTGATCCCCGCGAGTTCGAGAATCCGAACTCGCCGCATACCCCTACCTGGGGTGCGGATGATGAGTTGGCCGAGACCGTGCCTCCCCCTCCTGAGGACTGGAACGTCAACAAGGGGAGGGGACGGCACGGCGGCGGACGACATCGGTGATACCTGATGTCCGTCTGCGTGCTTTGCATGGCGGCGCCAACGCGCGCATGCTTTCATTCCGGAATTCACAAAATGGACTATGCTCCTTGTAGTATTTCTGTGTCTGGGCTATTCGCCATTTCAGAATTCAACTGCATGCGTAGCTGAGCGCTATTCGCGCAAGCTGCGATGACCTGTCAGGTGTGCGTCGCCGCAGCAAGGCAGTCACTCTCGGCGGCGTCTATGGCCGCTGGTGATCTGCATCCACCTGCACCGCTGCTGCTGCTGGTGATGGTGCTCATCAAGGTGCCGAGGCGATGGTCACGGGTGCCCTGCACCGCTGCCGGTGATGTCCTACTCGGACCTGGACCGCGGATCGCCGCTGGTGGTATCCTTGGCGATTGTCCTCGAATGACCGCGCGCCTAGACGGTGCTGATTTAAGGCCGAACCTTTTTTTTGGTCTATGCACCACGTTTCAACCAGCAAGCCAAAGCGCTTTTAACTACATAATTCAAACGTTAAATCCACGTGAATCTATTGATTCAATGTGGTTGCATCGAAGATATTTCATGCCTGCCATTTTGGAGTTGAATCTTTGTTCTTTTCCTTCTTTTGTTTTTCTTGGTTGATTTGGCTACCGGCGTGATCCGCTCCATACCCGTAATTCGGGGTGGTGGCGGGATCCGGGCTCCAAAGCGAGCCCGGGTATGGGGTTGCGAACCCTGGTAGTCTAATCGTCTTTGTTTCTTGTTTGTTGCTGTTCAACTTCAACATGGCCTATGCGCCTTTCCAAATTCACTCCTTCTCTTTGTACAGTCGAGGGGGGTGTTTTTGGGGGCATGTACTTTTATCATAGCGTATGTTATTTCCCGCCAATGTCCAACGCGACATTTGGCTCAAGCTTTTACACTCGTCGACTGATTCTCGCCATTTCGTCGGAAAACGATCGCGTCGCTCTACGCGCCGGCTGCGCTGTGCCGCAGCCGTCGCTGCCGGGGTGGCGGTCGTGTCTCCGGAGGTGGGTCGGGTGTTTGGTTGGAGTGGTTTGCTTTGCTTGCTCGCTTCGCTTCGCTGCATTGTTTGCCTGCTTGTTTTGCTGCTTCGTGCTTGCTTTCGGTTGTCTCTGCCCTTGCTGGGTTCATTCATCATTTGGTTAAAGGCACCCTGTTTTGGTTCGTTTGTTGTGCCAGCCGGGGGCACCGCTTTGCCCTTGGGACTGGGGGACTTAAACAATCTCTTCTTGTTGGTGGGATTGGGCCTGTTTATTCTCTCCCGAAATACTGTTTCAAACCCTTTCGCAAAAACCAATGGTACCATTTTGGGGTAGGTGAAGTCACCGCCCATTTTAGGTTACCTATTTTAGTGGTTGGATTGGGTCGGATGTTCACTGGGGGCTAACCGATTTGGGTGTTGAAAAGCCCATGGCCACATCTCCCGTTTTTTCTGCAGACCACTGGCAGTCCTCGCTCGGAGCCGCGCTTCGCGAGGACTTCTTCCAGATCTCGGTGCAGCGGCAGGCGGCCAACGCGGCGGCCGCCGCCTTGGAGGGGCGGGGGTTTGGAGCGGCGCGGCCACCAGCGGTTGGGAAAACCGGGGCTGAGGTTAGACGGGAAAAGGTTCAGTTGAGCTGTTGAGCTTTCGTTTTCTTCTTGAGACTGGGGGTGAAGTTGAGCTACTGGAGACAAGATCCTTGAGAAGCGTTGAGATCCTTGTCAAGAGAAGGTGGCCTTGTAGGTGCTGATGGATGGCTCATGTGGAAGCATGGAACAGATCTCAGCCAAGTGACGAAAAGGCTGCACGATAAAACTGAATTCGATAGCTTCAGAGTCAAGGGTATGGGCTGGGCAAGACTGCTGGTTGGCAGCAGTCTTTCTTCCAGGGATTGTGTGTGCTCAAACTTGCACTCCGAAGCATCAGCCAAAAGCGAGAGAGCCTGTTTACCGGGAGTGTTTTCGCACTCTTCAACCGACAGAAGTATTGCATTCTGCAGACAAAGGATTATGCTCATAACCCAGGTTCGATTAGCATCGCCAGCTTAGTGTCACCGATGCCCCGAGCAGGGTGTGGTTTCTCATTTCGCTTCCGACCGTGGAGAGATCTGGATTCGCACTGCAGTGGGAATTTTGCCATTGGAGCCAAAGTTTGGCCCTTGAGTTTAGCACGAATCCATGCAAATCGCTGAAAGCTCCTTAGGTTCCTGGCGCGCATTCGAGTGGATCAGGTTTTTGGCCAAGTTTGAAAAAATGCCTCAGGCCCTGATGCTGCAGACGGTTCCGCCGCCGGAAGTGCTGCTCGACTGGATGTTTTGGGCTCTTTTTGGCCCTGGCAGACACGGTTGCTGATCCAGGGGGTTGATGGTTTGCTTGCGGTTGGTGAGTGTTAGAGTCGACATGAGGACGCCACTGTTGGGTTTGGGCATCGGGCCGTTTGAGTGGTACGATTCCATGGCCCACTTGCCGTCACAGATGCCAAATTCTTGATTCTCCATGCACAGATCAATGCAATTCGCTCGGCTGCATGTCAAGTCATCCAAGGATGTGTTTGCCGAAACGAGCTGGCAAACGTAGCGTCCACCAACTTCTCCAGCTGTAAACATCAAGCATTCCAGTCAGACAAGAGAAGACGTCGGGTCTTACTGATTGGAGTAAGATTGAACATTGTGCGCAGTCTGGCAGTGACCTTGGTGAATATCTTCCATGACATGTTTTTTGGCAGTACTTTAGAGCACATTGGCCATAGGACAAGCTGGGCTGCTGTTTAACTGGAGCAAGCATGGTTCGCACAACAGGGGTAAGATGGGGATGCGTTCAACGCAAGGGAGGGCCTTTCAGCGTGCTGTGTGGCAGTCTTGCGTGCTTGCCTTGCACCTGAGGTTAGCCGTGTAACTATTTCCAGTGGCGGGGCATAGGCACTTCGTATTTATGTACTGTGAGCGTTGCCAAAGCAATGCACGCTCAACTCTCTAGTCTTCAGACCCTTGACATTTACTTGAGAGCCACAAGCAAGGGGCCTATGTTGAAAGGGAATCGGTGAAGGCCGATGAAGTTTGCAGCTTCCACAGGTTCCCCAATGCGAGGAGCAAAGCCCCCAGCGAGGTTTGAGCAGCACGTGAAGCCTGCACTGCCGACGCTGGCGCAGCTGAGCGGGCCTCAGACCTTGGAGCAAATGACCTTCCGATTGGAAACGAGATCCATTTTGGTCGGAGCTCTTGTGTAGACTCGTCGCGTTACCGGATTCTGTCAGGTCCAAGCAGAGGTTTGCCGAAGAAAACGCCGGCCTATGCTCATGCGACAAATGTATTGGTCCAAGTGCAGCGAAGCTACCATCACAATCCGTGTTCAAACTTAGTTCAAACCCAAAGGCACCATGCATAGAGATGTCCTATGGTGTGAACCGGGATTTGTTGAGCAAGTTGTTTTGAACAACGGCAAGGGCCACTTCCGCAGATGACTTGAAAGGGGCGAGTGGATTCATCCATCGCAATGAGGTTCCTCGGGTTCATACTGTCCTTCTGATGAATCCAAGTCAACATGACATTACTGGATACTGTCGGCGTACTCGGACACAAGGCAACTCCCCCCACCCTCAGTCGAACACGTCTGGCCGAGGTTACAGCACTCAGATCCGCAGGCCATGGGAGCCGTGAGGGCGGCAAGGGTTTGAGTCAGCTGCGCGGGTCCCACCACGTACCCTTGAGTTGGTGGCCCTGGTCCCCTGATAGGAGGCGAGCATGTTCCCTCCATGGGGCGCTTGGCTTTAACAGAAACGAAGGACAGCCGGAGAGCCCATTGGTCAGTTCGGAGTGGCGAACGAGCCCAGCTTGAAAGTGGATGTTCAACATCTTGGATGCAGATCCGGGCAGTCGAGCCATGGCTTTTCTCTTATTGCATCAAGGTGGTTGACACAATCATCATTAGAGAGAGGTCAAGCAGTTTTCCAAGCATTATTGAGTCGCTTGCTTCTTTGACTGCAATGCAGGAATTCCTGGACGCCTTGGAATAGATCCTGTCGCAACGCATGTTACGCGCATTCAGTGTTGCAGTAGTTCCCTCAGTTGCTCAATGCGTTTGACATCCCAAAAATTGGAGCTTCTCCACTACCGCAAATCATATGCACAAAGCGAGGAATTCACAGAGAACCCCCCCGTAGAAAGGCGACCGGCGTGCGGAAGCGAGTGACCTGATTGGAAGGGCGCTGTGGAGCGGTGGACTTGATCGGGTGCAGTCAGCTCGAAAAAGACCGCGCGGGGCTGCTTTTGCCTATTGGCAGTTGCCTCAAATTCCATTTCGAATGTCCAGCATTGGACTCCGCTTCCGTGCAGGTTCTGCATTCGATCTGTGAATGTTGGCGAAGAGTTATCGCCCTGCGCCCAGTTCCCTTGCGCAAGCAGCTTCGATGCCTTGAGAGATTGCCCAAGGCAGGTTCTTCCAAGCCAACTGCTAGTTTTGCTGAGAGGTTCATCAACGGAGCATCCTTTGGATATAGATTCCAAACAGCTCCGGTCAGCTATTGCTTGCAATGTGGGCAACTGCTTTGTCTGAGTGAAGATGAGCCTTAAACTCGTCAGCGTCATCTTCTTTTTGGGACAGTTAGAGGCCTAGAGCTGCAAATTGCGAAGACAAAGGATGTGCATCGCCTTGCATGCCTTGATGTTTCATCAGTTTTCGCTGCTGCGCGCGTTGGTTTGCGTTGAATGTGCTAGAGACTTGACCCTAGCGTTGAGTGTACCGTCTCCGAGAGGTAGAACGACAGTCTCCCAAGGGCTTAGAGCCATGGCCACATCCCCGGCAAATCATGTTCAAACCTTTGCATCACTCTAGAAGCTGTGTGGTCTAGGCGTCATATCTACGCAGGGATACCGCACCGGCTCGAGCAGCAGGACTTTTCTTGTATGGAATTCGCAAGCGATCTGCGCGGGTCTGTTAACATCGCTTCTGATTTTCCTTGGCCTAAGGTGCCACTTTTCAGCACAGCTTTTCCGCACCGTGTGCCCTAGGATGGCTGCATTGCCGCTCACGAAAGTCCCAAAGAGAGCAGCAACACAGGCCGGGCCAGGGCCTGTCTCAGTAACCGCAAGCCGAGAAAGGTGGGCTTGACTTGATTCTCCGCCGCCCGATCGAGATGAAGCCCCTCGATTGAGCCCCCTTTGGTCAATTGCGGTTCCAAGACAAGTTCCTCACCTCTGGCCAAGTGAGTTCACAAAGGCTAGAGGGATGCGCCACACAAGCAACTTTGCAAGGGAAGCCTGGGGCACTTGCTTGGTGCTTGGCTGTTTAGATGTGACCTCGCCTGTCCAGGTTAGGCCTACGTAGGCACATCATTCAGCATTCTGATGGACGTTCCTCTACTGTACTTGGACTGATGGACGCTGCACAACTTTTTTGTTCCCCCTTGGTTCTTTTTCCGGCCAGCCTCTCTGATTTGCTTGGGATTTGGTTTCTTCGAGAGTGGGTTCAAAGACAGACGATGGGCTCGCATCGGGCAGGCATTTCTGCAGCTCGCTCGGCGGCGCTCCGCCCATGGCTCAGTTGGTGCTGGCATGAGGCTTCCTAGGAGAGAGGGTTCGGACCAGTTCCCCCAGCAAGCTTTGCTTGAGGCGCTGCTAAAAATAGAACTGGCTAGCTTTTCCGCCCGATTGTGCTTTTCCTGCCCCAAGGCTTTGTATCTGAGAGCCGGCGGGCAGAGGCAACTCGTGCCCAACGGGGAAAGGGCTGGGGGGTGGGCATTTGGGTCCAGTACATCCCAGCCAGCCAAATGGTTGCAGCAATGCAACCACGGTACAGCTCCGATGCGGGATGTTTTGATACGGTGTTTGGGATGCTGCGGAATCTCTGATTACTAGCGTTTTTTTCGTCCAAGGTGCCCCAAGGGTTGAGGGCAGTGTTGATCCCTAGGAGCCTCTGAGGGCCCTGTTTGACAAATTGGATGGACTTGAAATTGGGGGAGTTTTCCATGAAGGAAGTTTGCCACAGCTTGGTACCCAGATTGCGAACCCGGTGTGTCCGTGAGCAGTAGGGTTGCGACTTGGTTTCGGTTGGAAGCTGGCTTTGGCATAGCTCTAAGTCTACTCGGAGCAGATGGTGCTTATTTTGGTCGTGCAGCAGTATTTTCAGACTGACAAATCTTGGGTAGCAATTTACTAGCAGCTTTGGGCCAGGCCCCCCTCGAAGCGGTTCCTCCATGCGACGCCCACAAGCCATAGGAGGAGGAGGACGACGAAGACGAGGAGGAGGACGAGGTGCTGACTGTGCCTGCCCCAACCGCCTGGGCCTTAGCGCATGAAGGCCGAATGAGGATTCCTCCAGGTCACTGGCAGTTGCACCCCCACTCTGAAACGATGGGAAACATTGTTTGTTGGGAACAGGGGGGAACAATCTCTCCAGGGTTTCTTAGGTGGTCCGAAATGGATTTCGTCCATCCACAGTATCCCCCATTCCCCATAGGCAGAGCAGGCGATCTCCACAGAGAAGCTGGCGGCGAGCCTGCAGGCGGGTTTTCCGTACGCGGGTGTTGGGAGGGGTCCACAATTTTGCGCAGCTTCAAAATGGGTGTGGCTCAAAATTCAGGGGTTACGCAGGTTTTAGTGTTTGGTTCCATCTGCCAAGCTGCCATTCGGTGCATTTCTTTAAAGCCACGGCCAAATAACACCTCTCACGATTCAGGGGGTTCAAGTTTGAGGCTTTCCGGGACACGTATTGGCGAATGATGAGATATCCTTCTGGGAGGTAAGCGGAACGCTTTGTGTTTCCCTTGGAACAGGTTCACCTCGTACATATATTCTTGCGGCACATAGAATGCTATCTATAGCTGTTTCGGAGCATCAGCCTTCTCCTCAAGCCTGCTGACTGTACTTCCACTTTTGTCAGCTGAGAGGGGCAATCCGCGACGTGCCAAAAAGAGGTGGATTTGGATGCATGCCATGCTTGGCGTTTTCAGGGGCAAGGTATGGGGGATGCCATGATTGTGTGCGGGAGCGCAGGGATTCGAAGTGCGAACATGTGGGGAAGACGCCCCAAAGCAATCGAGCCTTGTTGTCACCTCGAGGGATCCAACTGCTGCACGGTCCTTAAGCTTGGCGCATGGATTCCAGAATGCAGGTTTGCTCCCCGGTTTTGACAAGGGGAATTCCACCTGAAGAACCATCAAAGGAACCATCAAAGGAACCCAGCCACTTTAAGCTTGTCAAATAGTGAACAGCTTTTGGACTGTGTGAACATTGGGGACCCCCTCAAAAAGGAATCTTCACTACGAGGGGGTCGATCAATTTTCCACGAAAGGCGGCAAAAAGACCCCACTGAATGTAGGTGACTCTGCCTGTGCAGAGCATGCGCAACGGCGGGCATTTGCCAAGCTCAGCGCAAGCCGAGTCATATGGGTGTGGGTCAAAATTACACCACCTGGAACTTGAAGGTTGTAGTGGTTCCCACTTACGGGTTACCCTGTTTTTGACCCACAGCCATATATCAATATGTGTATATTCCTGGTCTGGAAGCAAGCGTGACACCTGCAAGATGCATTTCTCCAGGCGATGTGCCCCAGTAGCGCTCGGGGCCTGAGGAAGGCTTTGGCTCGAGGGACTTTTGCCAGCCAGAGAGCAATCAAGCATGGGAGTGTTTTGTTGGACAGTGGCGCCCCTGCACCTTCTACGTTCCAGTCACCCTTCAAGAGTTTTGTCGAATGCAGACAGCTAGCCTCAGTCCCAAGTGCAAAAAGGGGGTGGCCTAAGCTTTATTCGTGTTACTAAACAGGCCTGTCCCCCTTGTCTCTTGAATGTCAGAGCAAAAGCGACTCAGTTCCAGTACGAGGTCTTGGGCAATCTCATGCTTCTGCTGGGCAACGGCATCTCCAGCCCCAGCCAGCAGTCCTCGGTGGTGGGTGCGGAGGCGCGGAGCAAGTTGCATCGCTTCCGACTGGCCTTGGCTCTGTTGGACTCACGACCTTGGCAGTTGCCCAGGACAAATAGTAGTCGCACAGAGCGCGCATGTTGTTTATCGTGTTTCGGGCAATCGGCTATCCCTAAATCGGAGACTGAGTTTAGTGCAAGAGAAAGGATTACCGGATTGTGTGGCAGATGTCGTCCTGAAATGGAATCTGGTAGTGATCAATGACCAATGCACAAAGTGCGGGACACCCATACCCGTACCGCACAGCCGCACTCGTAATCGCTTCGCTGGATGCAAGGCTGCTAGTTGTTTGGATGAGTGGTGCCTAGGATTCTGGCTGCTCTCCCAAGTCTTGCGCTCGTGTCATGGGATTTTGGATTCTGTCTTACACCCGTAGAGCGCATGAGCCCAGTTTGAGTCGTCCGCTGTCACGTCGGGTCCTGGCCGGGCCGCCGCAGGTGTTGCACATCCTCTCCGTGCTGACGAACTACTCCCACGAGTTTGCGGAGGAGGTCTTGAAGCAGGCGACTGAATGGGCTTTGGCTCGGCTTGCGGGTCGAACGCGACTTTCCCCGAAGTTGGACCTGAGCTGAAACTGTCAAACCTTGCCATAAGGCATGCATATTGTGCGAGAATTGTTTGGATTCCAGCGCGGCACTGGCATTCACAATTACATTCTTGATGTGAGCTAGCTTTCTTTGCCGTATCCAGGTCTGGTCGGATATTTAGGCAGATGCGTTGCTCCAAGCTTGGCCTTTGGCTTTTTGTGTGTATCTTCGTGGCGGCATGGACAACTTTCGATGTGAGCACCATCGAGACGTAAAAGGCGGTTGGCAACCAGCGTGTGATGTAGCTGCTTCTAGCTATGAGCGTTCGTGGTTTGTTGTGGTCCATTTGGATGCTTGATTTGTGCAGTCGAGTCTTTGCACGATTTCTGGAAACATCGCAACTTTTGTTCCTTTCAAACGCCTTGCAAACACCAGACTGCCTGGAAGACGGTGGCAAAAGCCAGCTTTGCCCTTTCTACTATCTACCATTAATTAGGCTTAACGTGGTGGTCCTTGTGCTTTTCTGTATGGGCGGTCTGAGAACCGGGAGATTTAAGGAAGCTTGATGCTTGGCATCTATCTCCCTGGTCAAGACATGTATGATGAGCGCAGGACATTTGCAGCCTCCTCCGGCAGATGGTGCTAGGCCTGCTTGCGGGTGTTTCATCGGACGCGGTTGAAGTCCTTTAGACGTGTGGCATGTGGGAACTGTCATGGTACTTGCTACCATGCCTCCTTCGGCAGTCTGATTTCTTAGACATCCCGACGATGTTTGAGAGATCTCGCAAGCAGATCTGCCTGGCATCCCCAGACAGAATCCAGTTGCAATGATGGCAATGCAAATGGCTGAATTGGTTTCACAATTCGACGCTTCACCTAGATGCGCAGATGTTCGACATTTCAGTTGAATGCCTGGCAGCTAGATGCAAGCTCCAGCTGTGTAGACACCTTTGCTCATTGGCTTTGCACAACGTTCGAATGATTCCTAAACTTTCTTCCTTCACACATGAGCATGTCTCAAACTGAAATCAGTTTCACATCAACGGCGTGCTCCCTTCAGGTTTTCCATTGAGGATGCCTCTTGTGAGTGGCTTTTTTAGGGAGGTCAAATGAAACATATTATGGAACCCCAATCAAGCAAAGAGCCTTAAAAGGGCCTTATTCGGTGAGTTGTCAAACTATCATGACTTGACAACCACGAATCCATTGTTTGGGTGTTTCTTTTCTTCTTCTTTTTAATCACCTGCCCTACCTCAGTCCAAACGAGCCGACGGCACGGGGATTCGCAGGGATGGACACGGGCAGTATGCAGCTTGGCTCCGCGCAGGCGGGGCGAAGGGTGTTGGAAGTTGGGGGGCCCTTGAACTTTTCCTTCATCGTTTGTTGTTTTTGTTCTTTTTTTGTTCTGTTTTGTTTTGTTGTTTTCTTTTATTAGGGATCCACATGGGCTTTGTTGGTCTTTATTGTTCTTCTCCAGGGATCCACATTCTACCCTAGGGTCGAATGGGAGCGGTTGATGCTGGACGCTTGGGGTTGGTTTAGGTAGCAAATGAATGAAACGCCGACCGGAACGGGGTGGCAAACATTCTTTGGAGGGTGGCAGTAGAAGGTAGAGATAACCTCACGCAGAATTTAGGAACTCCACTTTTGGGGTCAGTGGGACACCAAGCGACAGCCAACCAAGGTGAGTTTGACAAGCTTCCGTGGCTCCCGTGCGGTCAGTCGACTTGCGTTCGGCGGGAACTGTGATCCGCTAGGAAGGGCAGGGCTGATGTTTTGCAGCATCCACGTGGATAGCAACTCCAAAGATTGGCGCTGTGGAAAGGTAGGATGGGGTGTTGAGCCATCTTCAGCTTTTCAAGGCCCGAGCTAAGAATCATCATCCGTGCCACACGAAAAGCGCTTTTATGGTTTTGCAAATTTCCGACACAGCCATGGCTAGGGCGACGTGCCGTGGTCATTCTCAATTCAGGGCATGGCTTTGCAGAGGGAGTGAAGTGGCACCCTGTTTTCCTTTGGGTAGGTGTTCGTGGAAGAATCGATTGACAAATAATGTCTGTCTGTATACGGGGCCTGTGTGTAAGGAAAGCCCTGAGAGCTTCGTCCCCGCTTGTGAACATCTGTTTACCGCTGGCCTCCCGCAACTTGTGTCCTCAACTGAACTGGCGGCTGAAGCTTGAAAAGCAGGCAACTTAGTTACCTCAAAATTTAGCCTCCAGTGTTTGATCTGATGCGTGGGCTGGCTGGCTGGCTGGCTGGCTTGCTCGCTGGCTGGCTGGCTGGCTGGTTGGTTGGTTGGTTGGTTGGTTGATTGGTTGGTTGGTTGGTTGGTTCAGGCTGGCAGGTAGGTAGGCTGGTAGGCTGGTAGGCTGGTAGGCTGGTAGGTAGGTAGGTAGGTAGGTAGGTAGGTTGGTTGGTTGGTTGGTTGGTTGGTTGGTTGGTTGGTGTCGTTTAGCCAAGGGACAGCAGCTGCTGGTTGGGGGCTTTGACCCTCGCCTGTTTCGGCTGGCGCCAGGCGAGCTCGGGCCTCATCCGAGTGCTTGCGCTGGTGGCCTCGGTGCGGTGGCCCGGTGGATGGCGGCTGAGGTGGTGGGCTATTTTTCTTGTCTCCATGAGTTCCTCGACTTTGTAGTTTTCGCGAAGATGATTATTTTTGTGGCAAACAGCAGTTTACACTTTCTTTTGGCCTATCCACTAAGGGACCTGAGTTGTTTTGCCTCGTGAGAGCTGCAAAGAATGATGTACATGACCCGAAGATATGTTCTGATGTGCTATCACGCGCGACGTTGTGTATGTCCAGGGAAGCTTCTTCAATCCATGTGTTTGGCTACTTGGCATTTTGCTGCTATGCCGTTTCCGGTGGTTTTTGGCCACTTCCAATTAGACGAGATTCGTTGGTCAGCTTTGGGTGAAGGGAGAAGATGGAAAGCCCTTTGGACACTCTTCAGAAGATGCTAATGTGTTGCTTCTCGTTGGACCAGTCTGCTGTGGCTTTCTCAGCCATTACCACTCTCGTGTGCAGACTTGTTCAGCCAATGTGAACGTCACCATTGACATCCATGCTTCTCAACGTATTCATGTCTGCCGATTGGAGTTGCAGTGCGTTTGTCGTAGTGTGTTTTTCTCTCTATGCGACTTTCGAACAAAGCTAGCATGCCCCCTGCAGTTGTGTTCACTTGCAATTGTACTTGGGGCAATTTGGGACGATGCTTCGTCATGGTTGGCAAAGGCTCATGATACGATCACATGCGCCCCATGTGTCCTTCGCCTTCAGCTCCTGCCCTCCGTGATCCTCACAGAGAATGGCTGCATTTGCGAGGCCAGATCTGGGAGGGTGGATCACGGCTAGTCACACAGGCACCAGTTACCGAAACGGGTTTTCATGATCTTGCAATGTTTGCGAGTTTTGAAGTTGCCTGTCACCCGACCTTCGTCTCTGGGCTTGTAGGCTCGAGCCCCAGTCGGGGCTCCGATTTCACACTTTCCGTGAGTGCTATTGGTGTGAGCTGACACTTCAGGAGCAGTAGCTAGCGGGGTGCGCGACATCTTGAGTCCTGTGGGCCTCGCTTGGCTGTGAGCACTCGGGTCCTGTGGGCCGAGTCCAATTGGCTTGGCCAGGAGCATCGGCTGGCGGTCTACAAGAACCACCCAGAGTTTCTGGAGGCCTGCAGCCAGACGGTTCTTTTTCCTTTAGGAGTGCTGGTTAGTGACGGTTCTCGGGGGATCTCAGGGGGGCCTCATTGGTCTGACTGCTTTCTACCATATCTCTTATTTGTTTTCGAACCACGTGTTTTTGTTGTTTGTTTCGCGGGGTTGTTTCTGCTTCAAAGGGAGGGAGGTCTCTTTTGGCTTTGCGGAAGGCCGGTGCTTTTGCCTTTCTCAATGTTTCACTTTTCATCTGGTTTTGTTTTCGATTTGCAAGTCTTTTTGCTGCTCTTCTCCCCTGTTGCACAGCACCGCCCGACCCGAGACACGAAACAAGCTGGCCTCTCCTTTGGCGACGGCACGATTCTTGTTTTGAAAATCACTCCATAGCTTGGGCCACCCGATCTTTGAAATGCATGAAGAAGACACTGCGCACGCATCCAGCACAGAGTCATGCTCTGTATCAGACAAGCTGCCAAGAGTTCAACTTCGGCAAGCCTTGTCTCTGAGCAGGGCTGGTTTTTGATAGCCAGAGGTTGGTGCAAATGCTGAGAGACCATGCAAAGTCGGCTTGTCAAGTTGGTCTGTTGGTTAGGGTAGGACATAGCAAAACAGCCGAGTCTTCCTATGTCCTTGTGGGGGTCAACTGATGTTGCCCGTGGTTACATGTGTTTGCACATTATGACATTGGCACTCCAAGCAAGGCTTGAGCATCTCGGTGCTACTCCGAAGGGACAAACTTGCCGAATGCACCGGATCCCCACAGTCCGTGGAAAGGGGCTGTACGGTTTCCGCCGGGCCGAGTTTGGGACGCTCGGAATGCCCATCCATTCGTTCACAGGCTTCAAATGCCATTCTTGCAGAACGAACTTGAGCTGAAGGTCAGCTCCTGAGGGTATTTTTCTTGATTCCGATGGATGGCCTGGCAGGCGCTGACCGATGCGTTCACGCCCATGCTGATGGATATTTGCCAGGCACAGCTCGTTGGCTCGTTGGCATCTCACAGTTGCAAAACCACTCCTGGAGTTTGAGAGCGGATTTGAAGCGGCAAACGTCTCGACTCCTGGGTTTTAACCCCTCACGGGTTGCAAGATCCGAGGGACCTTGCCCATTGCGCCCAGGCTGAAGACCTGCAACACCAGCAAGCTATCCTCAAGGGCCAGTCGAAGTGTTTTTTTGCACAGCGCCCCGCAAGAATCCACAGCTCCGCCGGAGCATGAACATCTCCCAGTCAAAATGATGCTGTGTCTAGCATGTGTGGGGAAGCGAACCATGGGCAAGGATCATGGCCGACCAATTTGCGCCACGTCCATTTTGCCAGATTGCCTTGATTGACGCTAGGGGATAAGACAGTTAGGGGAGCAACCAGCTGAACTTGACAGCAATTTTCATGCTGATCACAAGGCAGGGTACAGGAGCCTTGTATTATGCATGTAGGCAGACTGTGCTCCTCAACTTTAGTGAGCTTTGTTCCACTCTTTCCCGATGTCCTGGCGGCCTCAGGCTTGAGAACCCACAGACATCCAGAGCCAAAACCCCAAATTCGCCCGCGCTGGGAACAGACTTCCTGGTTTTTCTCATGCCTTGCCCACTGCCCTCCCCCAAACGACCTGGCCATGGGTCAAAATCCAATCGTACCCCCAGCGAACATCAACCAATCCAAGCACTAAAATAGGTAACCTAGAATGGGTGGCGAATTCACCTGCCAACCAAAATGGGATCAACCAAAGCGGTTTTGACAGCCACCGCCAAATCAGACACCGCGGAGGCCTCCATGGACCCGGCGGTGCAGTCCATCTGCATCTCGCTGCTGCTGACCTTCGTGCTTGCCAGCCGGGCGATGCACAGCATGCGTCGCTGAAAGTTTGGGATGGAAGTTGCAGGAGATTGACCACATGGCTGTGGTGGTCAACACCAATGGTTCCATTTTGGGGCAGGTGAATTCGCCACCCATTTTAGAACCTATTTTACTGGGGATTGGGAACAACTGCCTGATGACGGGCTTGCCGTGATGCTGGTATATGCGAGGTGACGATAATGATAGCTGACTAACCATGAGAAAGGATGCTTTCCGTCACGACGGGAATGGTTGTGGCCTATTGATGCCACATTGCTTCCACCTTGCTTCCGCATTACTGCGAGGCGAAGGAGAACAACTGCCTGATGACGGGCTTGCAAAACGATGCTGGCACATGCGAGGTAACGATATTGACGACCAAGCATGATAAAGGGTGCTTTCCGTGACAGGAATCGGTTTGTTCGAGTTTTGATGGAAACAGCATGCTATGTAGAGATGATGCTCCCATGCATTGGCTCATCTCAAACAAGCTGGCGCTGCTGTACGAATGTTATCACGTGTTCATCTACTTCCCAAGCACACCCAATATTGTCTCTTAAGGAGGAGGGCTCATCATAGTGTGTTTGTTCATTATGTCCGCAGGAGCAGTCCATGGGAGTGACCGTGGTGCCTCAAAGAGGTCTGGTCTAGGAAACCAGCAACAGTTCTGGCCACATGTGGTCAGTTTTCAAGAGGGATGATACGTTGTCATGATGACCAGCACTGGATGCTGTACTCTTTGCTGGTTCGGTAGTTTGCCTGAACAAACACGATTTATCGTTTTTGAGAGCCCACACCAAACGATCAAATGCGTTCCCGCAGGGGAACAGGGGCCAACACCAATGCCTTTTCGCACAAAGGTCGTGTGGCGTTTTTTTTTCTTCTTTTTTTCTTTTTTTCCCACGGCAAGCCCATGACTGCCGGTCGAGCCCAATGCGCGACTCGGACTCAGCCAAGGCCCTGAGCGGCAGCCAGCGCCCCAAGTGCTGTCGCCGTGGTCCAAAGCGGAAGGTATGGGACCCATTCGTGAATTGGAACCACTGGGTTATGGTTTTGAACCAGATTGCGTTGAGCCTTGGACGTCCGCCTCATTCAATGGTGGCAGTTTAAGACGACAAGAATGGACATGCAATGGCAGTTGCGACGGGAAGGGAAGCGAGAGCCCGTCCTCAGAGAAGCATTTTGTTGCTTCGGTATTGTTTGCGGAATAGATGGCCATCCTGCGCTCGGGGACAGCACATGGCCAATCTGATGAGAGATTGAACTCGGGAACAAGCCAAGAATCAAATTTTGTGCGCATACCCTTGGGGTCAGAAGAGCGTGATTTGTTTCAATGACTGACCTATGCACTGTCGGGTCAATGGCGGTGTGGCTGTTGTCTCGGCATTTGTGACCCGACAGGCTGACTATTCCTTGCCTCTTTGGCGCGTGGCTCACCCCCGTGTTTTGTTTGCGAGTCCCGCTGGGGGATTTCGCTGGCCCTCTTGGCTTTTCTGTCGGAGTGGCTTCGGGACATAGGCTGTAATCCCCCCCCCGCCTCGATCTTGACCTCGACCATTTCCTTGAGTGATTCTTGAAAATAATTACCCATGTGCACAGGGCCATTTCTCTAAGGGGTTCCATGTCAACATGGTCCGGGCACCAAAAAGTCAAAAAGAGAAGAGAATAGGGTTGTGGTTGGCGCCAAACCAAACCAAACTCAGGCATGATCTGCTGCGTGTGTGCCGTATGTTTTGCATCCTTTGGAGGTCGATTTCTCCGAGAGTTTGAGTTTGAGGAAGCGCCTGGAGCCTTCGCAGCTCGCCGGGTTCCTGGCCCGGGAAGCCCAGGAAAGCAGCTTTGCCTCGGCTATGTCGAGCGGGTTGTCGGTGGGGCCAGGCCGATGTTCGGCGGATTTTTCTCTCGAAGTGGTGTGGAAGTGGGGGAGGCGCTTTTGGAGCCCTGACTCTTGCCTTGAAGGGCGCGAGACGCGAGGGCTTGTTGCTGCTGGGAAGTGGCTGAACGCACATGTGCTGCCACTGGGACATTTGCATGCAGAGTCCTGTGGCAAAGTCAGTCTCAACATCGATATTGGCCTAACGCAAGATTTTGCAGTCTAGATGATCCAGCTAATGTTAAGCTCCTATCTGAAACCAAACACATTTGGACGAAATACAAAACCTGCCCACAAAAAGAGATACCAACTGAGCCGCTGGAGAGGCCAGCCTCTTGCTGACGGAGCCTTCGAGCTCAGTGACCTTGTCCTGCTTGTGGGCAGCCCAGAGGGGGCCGGTCCGGGCTGGTGGCAGGGTTGGTGGTTTGTGACTCCAGCTTGGCTCTGACCCTCTGACCTCCAGGTTTGGCGGGTTTAAGAGGTGCCACTAGGACAGTGCACTAGCCTGTTTCTTTTTCTTTTCTTAGCGAAACCGCCAGGTCGGAACATTTTTACTCACCATTCCTGAAGAGAGCCTGGAAGAGTTAAGTAACATATGTTGGGATGGGTAGGCTTCCTGTTTCTGCCAACTGGTTCGCTTGACCAGCCGGCTACTCATTGAGCCAGCCATGCCCACACGTCCGGGTTGAGGCTCGTCACGGAGCAGATGCTGGTGTATCACGCGAGCGACTACGCGCTGCTTGGTCACAGACAGTTGCACGTAGATGGTGGATCTGGCCTAAATGCAACGAGGAATTAAAAGCCGAGCTTCTTAGGTTGTGTGAATGATATGTTGATATGCCCAGGACAGGGATGGGTTGTGGTTTGCTGGAAATGCAGTGCCCCAGAGGTTGCAAGACCAATGCTTGAAGCCGAAGCTTGGGGAGGTGACTGGCTTCCGCATTTGGAGAGGCAAGCTGCAACAGGGCAGCGATTTGCCGATTGCATTTTTTTTGTTTAAACAGCCTCACTAGCAATGATGTTTGGCTGAATCGGCGAGGACCAAGTGTGATGTCTTGTGGGGGTTAGAATTTAGATTTTCCGCCATGTTTGGGCTTTCGCAGTTGCTGGGCGTTGGTGTTTGGTTGGCTTGATGGTTTATCGCAACACTCCAAACCCAGCCCAAACAGGCCGAGAATGGCAAGACTAGCCGCAATCCTGGCAAACAGAGCTTCCGGATAACTTTACACTTGCCCATTCAGCCAATCATCGTACATAGCCCTGCGTCAGCCAATCCAAGCCGCACCCTTGCTGAACTTCTGAACAGCCAGGCTTCGCACGATCTCAAACAACTAAGCAAGTCCAGATTTACCCGAAACATTACACTGGATCTCCAGCAGAATAAAGAGAAAGCTCTGGCAGTTCTGAGCATCTCAGGTGTTGCACGTCAGACTGTGGTTTTCCCATGATTTGCTACCAACTCGCCGGCTCGCTGGCCGTGAAGTTGATGGGGGCACAGCAAAGCTCGAATAAGGACAACTGTTGACTGAAACTGCCAGATCCACTCTCATTTTCTCACCAGCATCCTACAGCATCCACAGGGAATCCGAGGCAAGGTTTCTTCAAGACCAACCTGGCTGTGGGTCAAAATTAACCAACCAGGAATTGGACCGCAGATTTTAGTTCATATTTCCATTTACCAGGGTTGAATTTTGGGGTTACCCCAGTTTTGACCCGCAGCCTCCCAAAGCCTCCGGATGGACCGAGGCTCAGCTTCATCCGCCAGGGCGTGCTGCATGCCGTGCAGCGGATCGCTGCGCGAGAGGCGAGCGGCGAGCGAGCGCGCGGGGGTTCTGATTTGGGTGTGGCTCAAAATTGAAGGGCCGGGGTTACGCAGGTTTTGGTCTTTGTTTCCATCCAAGGGCCCAAAAATGGGTTCCATTTTGAGCCATACTCATTTCAGGTTGAATCGATCATGATTCACCCCAGCTGGGTCGCAAGGTTGTTCTTGAAGGGGTTCTCTTTGGTTTTCCTTTCAGCCACCTCAAAAGGGTAGCCTCAAAAAGACACGCCCATATGCCTCACTCAGCACCTTGCTGAGTGGGGCCTGCCACATTATCAAATTGGAAGGGTGGTGCGTTTGTGCCTTAAACTTGAGATGAAGATCAGGGGAAGCTTGGGCAATTCCCCGAAGTGCATGGGGCACTTTTGCGCTTTCGGTGCATGGTCGTCTAGTAGAGGAGGTTTCATTCAACTTCCATTCACCCGCGTTTTGGTGGCAGGTCGCCCCGGAGGCGCGTTTGGTTTGGTTTGGTTGGGGGGGGGATGGCTGGGGGTTAGGGTTTGGGGGTTAGGGTTTGGGGGTTAGGGTTTGGGGGTTGGTGGTTTCCAATTGAACCAAGTCCGAGCAAAGAAATTAAGATACACCAACCATTGGCGAGTTTTGAGTTGAGGCCCTGAACAAGTCGATGCAACCAGCGTTTCTCACCGCCAGACTATCCGAACTTATCGAGAAGTTCACGGTAGGCCATCATACAATGTCAGCATATTTGCTTCGCTTTTTCCCGCAAAACCCACTGCAGGTGTCTGAGGTTAACGCGTGCTGTTCGTGCTGCAGCATGTCAACACGGTCGGCCAAAGCTTCTGTTTGGCCGCCCCACGGGGTCCCACATTTCTTCTTGCGAGTTGCAAGGCACAACTCCGAACCCACAATCTGCATTGATGCAATGCGCCAATTGATGCTTTGACCTCGGCTAGTTGATGCTTGAACCCATGCCTCCCTTGCAACAAGTGCAAAGTGGCTAAATTCTGGGGGTTGGTGAACATCGAGGCAGTCTTTTGGACATCTTTCACCAAAAGGAGGCTGTCATGGTCCAACAAGCTTTGCCTTTGCTTCGCCCGAAGGCGCCCAAGGCAGACATAGCGTGGGGTCGCCTAAGCCGAAGGGGTGGTTGGGGCTATGGAATCACCGGCTCGGGATAAAGGGCTCGACTTTGCACATGGGAAGAAACAAATACACTTGACTGGGGGGGAAGCACATAGATAGACATTTGCCAAGATGAAATGTAGTTGACATGGGACATCCCATTGGGAATGTGCGTCGCCAATGATTTTGCCCAGAGCTCACACGTTGCAAAGGCACTATCTTGGCTGCAAGTGATGGCCACACTCATGGACAGGACTTCCTGGCCCGCCTTCATGAGCACATTGGAATTTTTCAGTTTATCGCCAAATATTTGGGGACAGCCATTGAATGAGAAGGAGATATTTGCAGTAGGCAAGATGCGCATAGGAATCTCCCAGGATCTGCTCCAGGTGCCTCGTTGCTGCAAACGCGTTGTTCAGAGTTTCTAGTGGTCGCGGAATCAGACAGAAGCCAGGAAGCAGTTGGACACGGTTTTGACCATTCGGATGGCTTTGAGCCATCCAAACTTGTGCACGTGTTTCTACTCCCTCCACTTATTGAAGCCCGGTGTCTGGACGGCGAGCCGCGAGCCGAGGTCTACGAACCAAGCAGGTGGGCAGTCGCGAGCAAGTTTGTCCTTCTCTCCCCGATACGGAGTGCCAAAGGTCAGGCACCCCTCTTGGAGCTACTTTCAAAGGTGGGCCAGCATGAATCATGAAATCCATGTGCCGTGCCGCCTTTTGGCGAGCTTCCCTCAACAACAGGCATCATGTTACAAAGGGTGTTCGGCAAACACAGTGCTGCACAGGGCCAATATCAACGAACTGGAAGGCCCACGAAGAGCCCGAACTGGCAGTTGCCTGCAAGGGCGGCATGTCCTGACTTGCCAAACAAGTTTGGTATGCTCTCGCCTCTCCGAACCCTGCAACATGGAGGCGTCTCCCACTGGGGGTGCCGTTTCGGGAGGGTTCTCTTCAGGAGATTCAAGGCTCAGATGAAGATGTCACAAGTTAAGCGCGACCGTGATCACAACTGTCTGTAAGTTGCCATGGAGCTAGGCAGCGTTCAAAGATTTGAAGCCGTGGCGACCTATCAAGCTCTGACTGTCGGGCCTACCATTTCGCAGTTCCTATGTCCTATGGTCTCAAATCTAAAGGCTCTCCACCTGGTTGACTTCTGTTTGGGTTTCCTTTTGTCGCCAAAAAGGGAGGTCCTCGCACTGCCACTTTGGCACAAGCCTCAAATCAGCTTCGCCAACCAGATTCCAATCAGCAATTCAGGCGAGGTCTATGGAAGGGCAGTTCATGGCTTTAAGACTCTCAGGCTGTTTCCACTTATCCCAAACTTCTCTTTTGGACAATGGGGGTCCATGATCCGGAGGGGATCCCAACTCCCATGAGCTGACGGGGCCTTTCGCAGGCCGAGTGGTACGTCGGCTCTGCATTGAGGCGGAGCCCGTGGGTTGATGTGGCTAGCGCCTCTCGGCGTCCTTTCGGGGTGCATGTGGCATGTGGAGGTGTCTTCTGGTTGTTGAGGCCGCAGTTGAAGGGAATCAAGGGATCATCAACCATCTTGCCGAGACTTTGAGACAAGCCCACATTGGTACAGTATAGTTGTTTTCCTTTTTTTCACAGGTGTTGGATTTGAAGGAATGCGTTTGGTTATGTTTTTCGCCCAAAGGCTGGAACGTTGCTTCGCAAAGGTCACACCATTCCATGCGCATGGAAGCGCGCCCTCGGATCCTTGATGCAAGGATAGGTGCCTCCTGAGAAGAACCCATGTGATTCTGTGCTTGTAAGGAGTTGTCTGCGCAACAATTCAGAATTTCAAGACCTGACGCTGTGCAACATGGGCGACTGCCTGCGAGCAAGGTTCGACACACTGCTGGGCCTTGGAGAACTTGAGGGTCCCTGACCCCTCCGAAAAAAATAAAATAAAAGTACAAAACATGTTTCCTTTCGCTCACCATCTCAGCGCTTGTGCAGCTAGGACCAGCCAAACTTCTTGCTCTTAGGGCTCAAAATGTTCCTCCCTTCCCTGTGGTGTCATCATTTGCAGTAGATTGGATCCAAAAACCTTCTCATTCCACAAACAAAGTGCCTGTCAGTTTACAGCATCCAACCCTGACAGTTGTGAATCGCAGCAGTACTGAGCGTGGATGCAAGTCCCTTTTCTTCAGGTATAGTTTTTTCTTATTTTTTTCAATCCTCACCACTTTGAACGATCTTACATGATGCAAGCTGAGCACGCATTTTTTAAGGTTTGATAACGCTGGCACACTAAATGTGTGCAGTTATACCTACCGTGGGCCGTCAAGGCAGGTATTTTGCTACTTGTTTGTTCTTTTGCTTTCTTGAGTGCTCGCCTGCTTGCTCGTTTTCATTGTTTGATTGATGCACTGCTTGCTTGCTCGCTCGCTCGCTCGCTCGCTTGCTTGCTTGCTTGGTTGACCGAGTGGTTGGTTGGTTTTGGTTGCTGGATTGCTCGATTGCTTGGTTGGTTGGATGGCTGGCTGGCTGGCTGTCTCGCTGGTTTGTTTGTTTGATTTTTGCTTGTTGATTGCTTGGTTGGTTTGATATACTTGTTCGAAATGAGTAGCGTGGCGTTTTTCAAGATATGCGTTGCGTTGTTTGGTTTTGAACTGTCTTTGTTGGTTAGTCAATCTGTTAGCTTGGTTGGTTTGGTTGGTTCGTTCGGTCTGTTTGTTTGTTTGTTTGTTTGGTTTGCGTGTTTGTTTGTTTGTTTCTGTGTTTGCTTCTCGCAAGGGTTCAGGGACTCAGACGCCGGTGCTTGCTGGACTCAAAAGAACATGCAGGTCGCGCAGCGTGTGAAGACTCAACACTTCGCCGGGGCTCCCGGAAAAGCGCTCGAGATCCGACCAAGATGGCAACAGTTTCGGTTTCTCAAAACGCTCGAGACAAGCGCTTCACCAAAAAGACATTGAGAGGCTGGGCCCCTGTCATGCGGCCCGCCTATGAAATGCCTGTTTCGTTTTGTTCCTGCTTGGAATGGGTGGCTCACTTGCCATGCTTGGCGAGATTGGGCCGAATCTTTGCACCCCAGTACAGCAACTGGCTTTGTTGTGCAAATGTCCCGACAATCTTCAATTCCAGCGACGTGGAACTATCTTGGAAGGGACACCATGCCAGTCAACTCCAGCTTAGCCTTGCAGCGATGCAAAGCGGCAGAAGGACTTGTTAATAGCGCTTGAGAACATGTGGTACTCAGTTGCTCCAATGTTTGTCAAAAGGTTTCCGTCGTAGATCTGGCTATACTGTATGTCAAGTCGGGCCCAGACGTAGACCTGGTTTCGTGCTACTCCTTTGACTCTCCCCCACCGGGGGGGCCACATTGCTGGCTACATTGCTACATGCCCCCGCCAAGAATGGGTTTCCTGTTCATTGCTTGTGAACCAAGCAGCAAGTCGGGGGCCAAGGATGGAGAGATTTCCACATGCTCCTTGGGCTATCGAGCAGCTTTGGAGATCGGACGCTTAGCCCCCCGATTGTGATCACCGTGAAACCCCAGCAAGATGGGAATGTGCTTGACCCATATTGTGTCTTTACAGTTGGGCGTCCTCTCTCCTGCTCACCTTGTGCTGGTTCCCCTCTAGCTGACCTCCAGATCTCCTGAAATGGGTGTGGCTCAAAATTAAACAGGAGGGGCAAACCGCAGGTTTTGGTCCATGTTTCCACTTACCAGGGCAACCCATTTTGGAATCCCGGTTTTTTGAGCCACAGCCAAATGAGTAATTCACCCCACTAGTCCAAGAGACCAACTCCAGGCCTCCGACTGCCCCGTGCTAGTGCTGCGGCAGCTTCAAGAGGTGGCGATCCACTCAGAGGGAGCGACAGCTCCGTGTGTTCGGCTGTTGTCCGTCCATAGAGGTTGCCCCTATTTGAGACTACTGTTCATTTAAGCCAAACAGGGGGTTCCCCTTGAAGGAGGGGGTTCTTCTCCTTTCCAGTTTAAACTGAACAGGGGTTCCCAATTTTTGAGACATCCTATGGGTATGTCCTAGGCCCCTCCCAATTGGCAACCGCATGCTTGTGGTCCTAAACCGACACCCAAAGATTGGGGACCACATCCAACCACAAAACCCTAGTAGCTTGAGCCAAATGATCGGCGTCTCCTTGTTCACCTTGCTTTTTGTCCACAAAGAATCCCATCTGTTTGGATTCCCCTAAATCCAACAGATTTGCTGGTGGGGCTTGGAACCCCCAATGGAGCTGGCGAGGTCTCACCATGTGGCTGTGAGTTTCCAACAGGGGACCCCTGGGCATCATGGTGGGGACTCACGTCCACCCCTTTTTAGGTTCCCGATTAGCATTCGTAGCCGATTTTGGTGTTTCTCAAAATCGGAGACCCCCCAAAATGTTTGGTTTCCTTGTGCTTTCCGCTTAAGCTATCCGAACAGGGGACCCCTATTTTGAGCACCACCCATTCGGCTTTGAGGCCTGACCCTTTGCCTGTGGAGCTCATTGGGCTTGAAGGTTGGTAGCTGGAAGGCATGTGGACATTTTTTTGGGGCTTGGCACAGAATGCCCTTTTCACCAGGCTCTCTGAGACAGCAGACCATCGGAGTAGCACACGTGAGCTTCACTGTGCTTGTGTGGCGGCAGCACCTTGTTTGGAGAAGATGGCGCAAGGGAAAGACATGCACCGGTTTTACTACAGACCTCAGGATCCAGCCGTATCCCAACCTCTGAACTGACAAACGTAGAGGCCCTTTCTTCACAATCTGTAGTGAGGCGAGGGCTTTGGACGCCACATCTGGCAATTCACCATTCAGCCTCTTGGCATCAAGGTGACTCCATCAGCGCCTCAGCACAATCTGGTCTGATTTGGATGTTGTGGTGGTCCCTCTTCCCAGAAGCTACTTAATTGTTTCGCGCTGTCATCTACCTCCCCAACCTGGCAACTCACAAAAAGCACCCTACAGCTGCTATTCAGCTGCTGTCTGGTGGGATTTTGGGTGCGACAACAGCCCCCATCGTCCGCGTTTCTGTCGGGGAGTCCCGGGCGTTGCGCTTGAGGCTGGGCAGCTGCAGGCGGATCCGCAGGCCGCCGGGGACCCCGGAGCCCGGTTTGCGCCGGGGGCGGATAGACTCAGCTTGGGTTTCTGGTCAAGGCAGGTTGCACGGTTGAGGGCGGGTTTGGGTGGGATCCCCGATAGCAAGCCCACTTTTGAAACCAGACAATTTGAAAAGACTTGCCACATTTCAAGAAGGGCGCAACATCTTCGGAGGACTAAAAGACGAATGCGAGGTTCCCGCATTGTGCCTAACTCTCGTGTGAGAGGATTTGTTCCTCTTTCTAGCCACGCCACGCATTGCGTGCCTCTAAGTTGTCTTGTCTCGGTTGGCCGAAGACTGCGAGCAACCAGCAGCCTAAGAGCGGCCTGATTGCAGGTTGCCTTTGGGTACATCTTTCCTTGCCCGACTTGCTCGGTAGCGACTGCTGTGAGTGTGGGGTCATTCCAGCACACACACACACACACAGACGCCATTGACTTCTTGCATTGGGCAGTTCATTCCTGCATTCTCCGCCAGGAACCTGCATCCACATGTACCAGTTTGAGAGAGGGGTACTGCTACTGGTTTCAGCAAGGCCTGTCCAAACCTTCATAATTTGCAACCATCCCAGCAAAGTGTCACAAGTCAACCGCTTTTGTTCGCTGCTCACCTGGCCATGTGTCAAAATAGGAATTTGGACCACCCACCCCCAATTTAACGCTTAAGTTTTCCTTTGAGTTCCCTTCAAACCAGCAGACCTCGGGTCTCTCTCGCCTGAAAACCCGGCTTCTGCCACGTGTTTTCCATTTGCGTACGCCCAGGCGCTGGAGCGGCTGCGGCTGCTGCTGGGGGATTCCGTGACCGCCTTCGAGCTCACCAGCAGCGGCCGGGCGTGGCGAGTTGGGAGGGCTGGGGGCCCATGGCCATGGCGTGTGGTAGGCGAAAATTCATTTGGCTGTGGGTCAAAACCGTTTTGGTACCGTTTTGGGGTAGGCGAATTCACCACCTGTTTTAGAACCTATCTTCGTGGTTGGATTGGGATGTTCACTGGGGGTTGTGACGCATGGCCATTTGGGTCGAGTCATCCCCTGTTTGCCATCTACGTTTTGGCGGGTGTCAGGTGTTCTGAATTTGGTTCCGTTTTTTATTTGACAATTGATTTGGGTGCCTTGAAAAGCAAGGAGTTCCCAGTGGATGGCATCAGGGGTTTGAGAATTGAGCAGAATGTCTCAGTCTTATCGAGCCTCTTCAGAATGCCATGTGGCTTTGGAGTAAACCTCAATACAACCATCCCGGTTGTAGAACCAAAAGTCAATGAGTTTCTGGGCGCTGCTCATGGATTGTCCCGTGAGTTCTCCTAACGTCAATCTCACTACGCATGCCGCGCCCCTTTGTTTCCAAGCCTGTACGTTGCTCTGTGGGAAGGCGTTGTGCATTTCCTTGAAACTGGAAGTACTTAGTGACTCCTGGACAGGCCAACTTAGCAGTGGTTGATCAAACAAAGTATCATCCACTTTTGGTTCATGCTTCGGCTTAGTGACTAGATGTATGCTGGAATGCGAGAGATTTTGGCATATCCGCGGCTTTCCCACTTTCTGCTGTGAACCTTTGGCATCGCAACATTTGCCGATCTGATGGTGGGTCAGTGTGTGTGTGTGTGTGTGTGTGTGTGTGTGTGTGTGTGTGTGTGTGTGTGTGTGTGTGTGTGTGTGTGTGTGTGTGTTTGTGCGTGTGAGTGTGTTTTTGCATGGACAAAGCCAGACAAGTTTTGAACATGACACGCGCTTGGCGGGTTTGTCGAAACACCAACCTGCTACAAAGTTGGACATTGAGCATGCAGCAAAGACGTGCTTCGTCCGGCTGCCCACACTAGTGGCCTAACAAGGGTTTTTACGCTTTGCCGGACATGCTTTCGGCAGCTGATCAACGGTTTATTGCCCCGGAAGTTTTAGTACGAGTTCAGCAGCTGCTTCTTGGTTCCGTGTGTGCACCATTCGCCAGTTTCTTTCTCATTGGGGGAAGATGGGGAAGTAACTTTAGTTGCAATCCCCACGAACCGTGCTCCTTGCACTAGTGTCGCACACTCCCTTGGGACGCAACACAAAATGGGGCGGGGAAACGGAACTGTGGGCCGGGCTGCGGAGCGCCAGGTTTGTCGGGAGCGCTCGCGGCCTTCCTCTTCCCAGAAGGATGCCGGGGCCCGTGGCCCTTCGTGACTTCGCGAGAACTTGAGCTGTCCTGTGTTTCTTTCAGTGGAGCCAGCTGGCTGGTCCAAACAAATGGTGCCATTTTGGTTGGTAGGTGAATTCACCATCCATTGTAGAACCTATATTAGTGGGGAGTGGGATGTTCACTGGGGGTACGGGCTTTTGACCCATAGCCAAATGTGAACGGCACCCCTATTTTCTAGGGAATTGTTTTCCAGTTTTTTGGTGTATTTTTTTCCGGTCAGGTCAGCAAGCCAGCAAGCCAGCAAGCAAGCAAGGCAGCAAGCAAGCAAGCAAGCAGGCAAGCAAGCAAGCAAGAAAGCCAGCAAGCAAGCAAGCCAGCAAGCAAGCAAACAAGCAAGCCAGCAAGTTGGCAAGCAAGCAAGCAATCAAGCCAGCAAGTTGGCAAGCAAGCAAGCAAGCAAACAGGCAAGCAAGCAAGCAAGCAAGCAAGCAAGCAAGCAGGCAAGCAAGCAGGCAAGCAAGCACGGGCCCAAGCAAGCAAGCAAGCAAGCACGGGCCCAAGCAAGCAAGCGCAAGCAAGCAAGCAAGCAGGCAAGCAAGCACGGGCCCAAGCAAGCAAGCAAGCAAGCAAGCACGGGCCCAAGCAAGCAAGCAAGCAAGCAAGCAAGCAAGCAAGCAAGCAATCAAGCAAGCAAGCAAGCAAACAGGCAAGCAAGCAAGCAAGCAAGCAAGCAAGCAAGCAAGCAAGCAAGCACGGTCCCAAGCAAGCAAGCAAGCCAGCCAGCCACATTTTTCGGTGCCAACGCAATCTGAGCCATGCGACCGCCCCATACGACAGCATTTGCGTAGAAACACCACCCTAAACCAACCCTAAACCCACACTCCTAAACTCACCCTAAAGCAATCTTAAACCAACCCTAAACCAGCCCTAAACCAACCCTAGACCCACCTTAAACCAACCCTAAGCCAACCCTAAACCCAGCCTAGGCCCACCCTAAGCCCACCCTAAACCAACCCTAAACCCACCCTAAACCCACACTAAAAAAGCCAACCCCAAACCAACCCTGAACCCACCCTAAACCCAACCCCAAACCAGCCCTAGACCCACCCTAAACCACCCTAAGCCAACCCTAAACCAGCACTAAACCCACCCTAAACCCACCTTAAACACCCACCCTAACTCCAAACCAACCCTAACCCACCCTAAGCCAACCCCAAACCAACCCTGAACCCACCCTGAACCCACCCTAAAACCCACCCTAAACCCACCCTAAACCAACCCTAAACCCACCCCTCAACCCCCCTAAACCCACCTTAAACCCACCCTAAACCAACCCTAAACCCACCCCTCAACCCCCCTAAACCCACCTTAAACCCACCCTAAACCAACCCTAAACCCACCCCAAACCAATCCTAAACCCAGCCCACCCACCCTACACCCACCTTAAACCAACCCTAAGCCAACCCTAAACCCACCCTAAACCCACCTTAAACCCACCCCAAACCAGCCCTGAACCAACCCTAAACCAACCCTAAACCCACCCTAAACAAACCCTAAACCCACCCTAAACCCACCCCAAACCCACCCTAAGCCAGCCCTAAACCAGCCCTACACCAGCCCTAAACCCACCCTAAACCCAACCCTAAACCAACCCTAAACCAACCCTGAACCCACCCTAAGCCCACCCTAAACCTAAATGGGCCCTAAACATCCTTAAGCCAACCCTAGAGCCCCAAACCACAAGATCTGCAGTGTAAGCCTCTACAAAAGGGAAACTGGAAAAAAATACACCAAAATACTGGAAAACAATTCCCTGAAAGACAAAACCACCAATGTGAACAGTCAATCTTGACACCATCTTCTTGCTGTAGAGGTGCTGATTTTAGTGGGGCCCATGGCCAGCTGGCAGCTGGACGGGACCTAAGCGGCACGCGCCAAGGTGACGAGGTCGTTTGCAGGGAGCGGCTCAGGCGCGACTGGCTTTCGGAGTGCCAGCAGTGGCATGGGAGTGCAGGGACTTGTGGGTTTGAGGTCTTGGGCGCTTTCGGCGGCTTCGAACGTGGTGCTTTGAATGGTTGGACTTTGCTCTGGCTGCTCCGGATTGCTTCGGTGTTGGCTTCTGTGAGGATCGCTTTCGAACCAAATGCGCACTTTGATTTGGTGTGAGTTCCCGCTAATTCCCGAATCGATACATGCCCATTCTCCATTTCCTTGTTATTATCATTATCTTTGTTCCCCTTTGTCATTGTCCTTGGCCTTCCTTTTCTTTGTTTATTGGATTCTTGTTTGGATTCAACCTTCGGCCCTTCGACATCGACGTCACGCGTTCGGCCCACCTCCCGAGACCACGAGAGAATGGACGGTGCGAAGCTTGGGGCCAGGCTTTTCCTTGAGCAGATCGTGGCTCCACCTGGAGGCCCGGGGTTTCAACCGGGAGAAGTGGCTTGCTTGGCTTGTCATTTGTCCACTTCCCCTTCCTCAGATCTTCCAGGTACCCTCCCACAGGTGCTATGTTTGCGGAAAGAAGAGTAGTCATTTGTAGGAAATAAGACTAGCAACATTTGCAAGGGTTCAGCGAGCGGGAGGTTTGACATCAACTCTACATAAATACTCCTACTTAGGCATGAAAGGTGCACTGCGGTAGAAGAAGGACGCTTGTAACTCTCCGAGACTCATCTTTTGCTTGGCCACTGCTTGCGGTTCGATACTGGAGAGAAGGTTGTTTTTGCAGCGTGAATTACTTGCTTCATCAAAGAGAGCTCACCGCACCTACGGGTGTACGAAACCAATCGGGGGCCTTGAATATGTTTTGGAATATGTTTTACCCCCCCCCCCCCCGGGCGCATCCAGATAGGCGCATGCTCTCAAGCACTGTGTGGGGTCGGTTTGTGTCAATGCAGCGCGACTTGGAGATGAACGATTGGATCCCGGGAAGCCAGAACATCATCTGAATTTTCAGGGAGCCATGCACGGCCGTGTGAGATGCAACGATTGTGCATTGGCAAGGGTGTTCCATCAGTACCGTCCTGACGGGACATGAAGGCCCAGAGCTGTCATGGCCCACTTAGGAGCCTTGCTGAAGCTGGTGAAGCTTTGCCTGGGCCCCCGGCGAACTGGGAGCGAAGGCTCCGATTTCTCAGAAAGAGGATGGGCGATTTACTCAGGTCGTTGGGGGGAGCTAGCTGCCAAGGCCGAACACGCGAAGATGTTTCTTTTCGCCGGTTGGCGCCTGCAGGAGCACGAGCGATGGAAGAGACTCCGTCTACCCAAACATTTGAATACATTCGCACCTGCTCAGGATACCCATCTTCGGCGTTTCCGAGGGCAACCAAATCTAAAGCAGGGCATTTGGGGGTCTCTCCATTTTTGAGACTTCAACCCAGGCATCAGCACTCTTGTCCGATTGCCGGAAGTCACATTGAAACACCCCATTTGGTTGCAGTTCCCCCAAGTTTTGCGAAGCCAAAGGGGTTGGCTCAATCAAATTGTTGGAAACCCTTGGCAGCAGCACTGTCTGGTGTGAGAAGCGCAAAGAACTGTAGGGGTTGTTTTGCGGTTTAGAGGGTATCATTCTTTTTGGATTCCTTTCACGGGAAGTCACACGGAAGCCGAAGACCAAAGGAAAGCAGGGCAACGAACCAAAGGGAAATATAGTAATTCAAAAGAGCAAGAGGCGGGCGAAGGGGAACTAGGGAAACCCCCAGGGCAACCGAAGCTGAGACGTTGAAACCCCACGGCCTTCTCCCTGAGGCGTGTCCGCCTTGCAGCGAGCGGAGCAGCAGCCTCTGATGCTCTTCCCGACCCAGGCGTGTCCGGCCGGGGGCCCCATAGTTTTGGGAGCAGAGGTAAGCCAACCCGGAAAGGGGTGTCAGGGACCCAAGCACTACACAGCAAGAGGTTCTCAACAAGGTGGAGCCCCTTTTGGATGGCTGACGCGATACAAGCAGAGCATCTTAGATGTTTGAGCGCACTTGCCATTTTCGAAAGCGTATGAGAATTCACTTCTGGCTGTTATTCTGGTCTGATTGCGGTCGAACGCCTGCGGTCCTGCGGTCCTAGTTGTGGGCGCCGTGCTTTTGGTGGTCATGGTCGTGAGGCTTGCGTTGGCGGTGGTCCTGGTTTTGTCCTTGTTTTGCCGGCACTGAACCCAAAAGTTGTTCCAATGTACTCTCAAACGGGTCCCAAAACAGAGGTTGTTTCAAATGTAGGGATTAGAAAGGTTCAAAGGGGCGGTCCCTACCCTTCGCGGTTCGGCTCGAGGCGATGTACCTGCCGCGGCATCTGTGGCTGGCGACCTTGCCGGGGCGCCGCAGTCCAGGGGCGTGGGAGGGGGGGGGGAGGCCGCAGGACCCGGGCCCGGGCCCGGGCCCGGGACGGGTCGGCACTCACGAAGTCCAAAGGCGAAGGGAAGGCGCAGCTTTCCAGCTTCTCCGGTGGGGGTGCAAGGAAACGTAGCCAAGTATGCGGGGGGCCACAAGAGCAACATTGCGGCGCCATACACATCAGCACAGTCAAGCTTGCAAAGGGGCAATCTGCAAGCATGACTTATGTGTGTTTTTTTTCCTCAATATTGTGCACAGAAACTTAAAATGCCCTTGTGTGTGTTGCCGTCAAATCGTTGACTCCATGAAGATTCTCGTTTTTGTGCAGCCAGTGAGACAGTCCAGCGGATGTCTAAGGTTGGGTGTCAAGACAATCTCCGGGAGCTTAAGGCTTTGGAAAGCCTAAACAGGCTAGAGATCCTGCTGTAACTCAATCCTTTGAATTTCATGATTGAGGATGAGCTGTTGTCCTCTACCACTGGTTTCTTTTTCACTTGACAAAGCAGCAGTCGGGCCGAATTGGACCTGTCAACTGCAGTATGAAACGTTGGGCGTGAAGGCTGCATAGCTCCAGGGTTGGGTTTGTGTTTTGAAAGGTAGGGATGTTAGAAGGCCAAATCCAAGTGTTGGTTCAATACCCCCAAAGCCGCTAACCTAAACCACCAACCCAAAAACCGCCGGCTGACGCCTCTCGCTGTTCGCAAGCTTTCATATCCGCCGCCGTTTCTCAAAGATTCAGCAGCCCCGCGTTGAATCTTCTCTTCAGCTCGGGCACCTAGCTTTGCCGTGAGGGCGACACGTGGTGCACCCTTGTGATAGAGTTTTCGTTGATTGCAAAATTACTGGTAGTTTGTTGCTGTCTTTGTAGCGGTGTTTATGAAGCTGTTGCAAGAATTCCCAGTCTCTGGAACCCTGTCCTTCATCACGTGCACGAAGTCTTAGCAGTTGCCCATACACACACTGGCATTGATACCGTGCGCAAAAGCGCAGAGCATAGGATTGGGGAGTCGGCGTAACTAGGCCAGGCTTTGGTTCTGAGGGCCAAACCCCAGCCGGCGAAATTTTTCGAATCGGGGCGCCGAGTTTCGTGCTGGATCCCCTGCTGCGGCCCCGTTGATGGCTTGCTTGGCGTCTGTGTTTTGTTTGTCTAGGGCTGGCACAAACCCGTTCAGGGGCTTGACTCACGTGCCGTTTCCTCGATTCATCGGGGGGTTCCAGGGAGCCTTCTTACTCGGTTGCATTCTTTCCACTCTGACATGTGGATGAAGCCACGCCATCGCAAACCAAGCCACAAGCACTCCAAAGCAACTGCCAGAACGCGCCCTACTGGCCTAGTGGTCAGTTGGACGCTTTACTTGCTGCACAACTCATCAGCACCTTGAAGGTCCTGTGCAATGGTTGGACCCTTCCTGAATTTCCTGAATGGGCAAGTAGCATGAAACGCATCCAGAGTCCAAAGAGGCGACTTTGGTGAGCTCTCCCCGCTGAGTGCCGCGAGGTGGCCATGCCGCTGATCGCCCCAAAGGAGGCTGCGGCCGCTGGGGCGCCCGACTGAACATGCGAGAGAAGTGAAGACCGCGTTGAGAAGGAGGCGTGGCAAATCTGATAAAGCCTACTTGGTCACACAACCTCGCGACCTCATGGTTTGGGGGCATCTCTAAGATAGGAGAATCGTTCATTGAAGAGCATAGAAGTAGACAGTGACCGAAGACTATTAAAAAGCACGCATTAATCATATCGTCAAATGAATGAATATATATATATATATATATTATACACATGTAAATATAGCAATAGTAAATATCCAAACCTATGAAAGCTGAATGAGAAGACTTACAGAGAAAGGGTTTAGCTTTCATTTAAATGATATCAATCAAAGAGTAACACTATAGCTTAAAATACATACGTAGATAAATTTGTTAATTGAAGATGATTAGACATACATCAAACTCAGACAGAAACATCAAGGTATGGGACTAGATGTATAGAGAAATCACTGTGATTGATTTGTCCCAACTCATCACCTCACTTCCAACGACTACCTTATCCCAACTCATCACCGCACTTCCAACCGTTCCTTGACGTGCATTAGTTGGGTGAGGCGGTTGGGAGTGACGGAGAGGGCGAAAGATGATGAAGATACTGAATTCCTTGTAATTTTCTTCTTTCTTTCACTGCCCTCTCCCACTCATTAATCACGGGGGAGCGAAAAAGATGTGTTGATGCTATGAAGAAGTCAGCAGACAGACAATCAATAAGACATGGACATGACATGACACTGTGAGTATGACCAATTCTTAGTTGTTGTTCTTCTGCCGGATACCAATAAGTAAGAGATGGATACCCGCACACAAGGTATACATAGAGAAGAGGTAAATAGAAGATGAATATGTGTTACAGACATATACATTATTATCAAGATGATACATGCCCTAGATGGTACATATAGGTGTTCCTTTCTCTTTACTAATATTGGTTCTTTGTTTTCCTGTGAACTGCTAATTCTAGGTGGCAAAGAAAGGGCAGTGATAGAAATCCTCGGCACTGATACCTCCTGGTCTGGATAAGACTCGCTTTTTCAATAGTCTTGCCGCTGCTGCTGGAAGTAGATGTTGTGGTCACTTTCATTACATCTCGGATCTTGCCCTTTCTTTGCAATGTTTACAATGACCAGGACAAGGGGAACGCAATATCGCCCCTGTTTCGGGTCCTGCTACAAGCTTGACAGGGTCCACCACAAGATGGGCTGCATGATGTGCGCATCTGGTATTTATTGGGTGCGAAAGTAGATGATTTGCAAGTTGTGATGGCCTTTTCCTTTGCCTTTGCAAGAATCCAGGGTCCGCAGCGCATTCGAAAGATGGTAAAGCAATAAGCAATCCCCAATCTTGAATCCCTCCACATCAAGTGGGTATGTTTTCTTTCAAGGTGCCCAATGTGGGATTGTCTTTGAAGACAACCAAAGGGAACATCCAGTTTGCAAGTTTCCCATCTTGAAGCAACCCCAAGTCATGGCTGGAAAAGCGGCTGAGCGACCTTGCAACCGAGGTGAAGATGTCGGCGAAGATGTCGCCGGAGCTGGAGCTCTTTGTAGTCTGCGGCTGGGGCAACTTGGCTCGGGGCATTTGGATTTTGGGAAGTTTTTTCTTCTTCTTCTTTTCTCCCTAATACTAACACCATCTTTTTACCCAGTTGGGTTTGGATCTTGTTAAGAATTATCTTGTGAGAGTTTTCCTAGTGCCAGCAGCATCTTTCACATTGGGTTTTTAGTAAGAATCGTCTTGTGACACTGAATGGGGTACGTGGGGCTAGAACTTTTTGCTTTAGTTAGGGTTACTCCTGTTTGAGGCCCAGTCCAGCTTTTTGGCAATGGTTTGGGGTCTTTGTTTTGGCCGTTCTCCCCATTTTTTGAGCGCTCCAAGAGAGGTACGGCTCGAGTGAAAGCCCTCGCCCGTGTCCTATGGGGATATTCTTCTGAGATGGACCCTCATGAAAGTGAACTTCACCAATCCTTTGGGGCAAAAAACCGGGTCGCACAACCTGGCAACCACACAAATAATTACACCAACTGCTTTTGTTTGGATTCCGCAGATGGGTTCAGAGCCAATTTGACTTGCATGGCTTTTGCTCAGTGATTGTGGCTTGGAGTTTGAGTGGGTGGTCTTTGTCCTCCTTTGTAACAACGCAGTCATCATACCCAGCTGGGGATGCAGCAAGCTAATGCTGCCATCGATGTTGTGATTTCTAGACTCATTGCTACGTCTCAAAATTCTGAGCTGTGGCGCAATCACAGTCAACACCCACGACGATCTTAGCCGTCGTTTCCCAGGCAAATGCCCGAAGAGGCGTGGTGGGACCGGCTGGGGAAGGTTGGGCCATTTGAAGCCTTTCTTCACATGTTGTCCCAGGCCATGTACATTGCACGGTTGAGCTACAGGTTTGGACCCGTGTAATCTTTGACATATCCTCGCCTTGCGCTGGCCTGCCAATATGATTTAGTTCCCTTCGTTCTGCTGCTGGATGCCCTGCAACTTGAGTCTTATCTTAATGTACCGGGAAGGAACCTTGTTCATTTGCGTGCAAGCTCAGAGTGTCGGACGGCAACAGCAACTAGCATACGTGATGCAAGCGCATCACAATCTGCGATCCAGGTCAGGATTTTATGCCTGCTTGCAAACAGTGACACGTGGTCATCATCCTCTCAGTGAGCATCGACACACCAAGATGATCTTGCTAATCTAAGTCAGCAAGATAATCATTCATTCAGCATCCCTTTGTCAAGTCACTTAGTCCGTTGATTCTACCTGCGCCATTTTGATGTTGCCACCACCCGGGTTCTTGCAAATCCGGCTGCTTGCTTACGCTGTATGGCTGAAAGGCCTGTCAGCCCACTTGGGCCTGGCCAAGTTCGCCAACAGGGCTCTTCTTTCTACTCATCTTCTGCGGTTCGAGTCTTGCCTCCTGGTCATCGAACGCCACGAGTGCTAAACACGGGCGCTCCCTGAGCAAAGGGGACTGGATCGGGGCTCAAAGAAAAACAGCAACTGAAATGAGGCGCCTTGAAGCAAAGCGCTGGCCCAATTTCGATTACTATAGTTGCCCTACGATGCTTGGAAGGGAGAGAGGAGGCGCAACCATTGTGACAGCGGTAACGCATGTCTCCCTCAACATGGTGAACCATGTATACGATGCCAGCCTCCAAACATGATTGAGAGCCATGCTTCTGCCCACAAGGTCCATTTAACCATACGATGCCAGCCTTCAAACATGGTTGAGCCATGCTTCTGCTCCATTTCGCTCAGTACGATATCATTGTCTTAGCTTCTGGGAATCTGGTACTTCAGCCGGCAGGTTGGACCGCGTGATGAAGAAGAAGCCAAATCTGAACTGGAAGAACGAGGCGCGGGGGCGCTGGGCTGAGGGCAATTCGCACTCCGCGCGGAGCTCAAAACGTGCAATGCCAAACCTGGGGCCGC